TCTTGCTTTTGGGGGCTTATTGGAGCTTGTTGCTGCCAGCAATTGCAAGCCCTCATCACCTGTTGGAGTCAAGACGACGGATTCCACTTCAATTACTAGTGGAACAGCAACAAAATCAGCACGCCCTTCCGAAACGACCGATGGGCCGGTCATTATCACCAATGCAGTGACGAATGGCGACTTTGGAGGCTATGATCCTTCATCAGATGGTGGTATATACGCCTTTCAAGCCGGTGGTGACGCGAAACTCCTTCAAGGCCCTGGATATCAGGGAGATCACACCGAGGAGAGGAACTGTGTGCAACTCAAGACCAATTCGGGAAATCCTGGTCAAAAGCGAGACTTCATATCCGATAACCCCTATATTCAACAGCAGCTCGACAATCTGGAGCCCAGTGACTTCACTGTTCGCTTCTGGTACTCCATCGTGAACAATGCTATCGCGGACACGTGCCGCATCGAAGGGCTTTACGGAAATGCCCAATTTGGAGCAACTCCATACTTTCCTGTTGTCTCTGAAGGCAATAGCTGGTTGGAGTTTGTCGACTCTATGCCTGTCACTACTTCAAGTGGAATGATTCGTTTCGAGCTCAACTGTATCAATGGTGGCTCTGCTGAAGTCTACTTCGATCAAGTCTTTGTCTCTAACAAGATAGGAGATGAATGGGTTGACGGTATCTCGTTGTTCTTTCCTACGTCTAAGCATGCCGCTACCATTGCTCCAGCTCAAACAAGCACCGCTCCTGCTGTGGACACAGCCACGACTAGCAGCGATAACACCGAGTCTTCTGGCTCTCCTACAACTCAAGCCTCCCAAGCACAAACTACTACTGATGAAGCCTCAGCAACCGACAAGACAATCGAGTCCACTTCTGCCTCCGCCTCTGCCTCCGCCTCGACCTCTGCACCGACTGATCCCACCACATCAGGCCCCAAGCTCTGTGCCAAACTCGGGACCGGCGCAGCTGGTCGAGGCTGCGCCAAGAGGCCTTATAGCAGCACAAAAGGCTACAAAGGTTATGGTGGAAGCAAGATCACAAAGGAGCAATGTGCCGCTCTCTGTCTTGCAGATACCAATTGCCAAAGCTTCGAGTGGCGTTATTTCGGCAGCGGATGCGCCAACACATGCAATCTCCTTGCTACGAACTGGGCAGACATCCCTACCAACGGAGGCTCCGACTCAGCCTGGGCCTATGATCGAAGCTGTATTCAGGAGGATGCATGCGCTGAGCAACCCGCTGGCTCTGTATGCGTCAATGTCAACGCTGATACACCCGCCAAATCTTGTACCCAGGTCAAGGGCAAAGCGAAAGCTTGTGCCAAGCCCTTTTTAACTGCCCAAACGAACGGTGTCTGCGGTCTTAGTAACGAATGTCGCGATCTTTGTGCCAAGTATCCTTCTTGCAAGTCTTATGCAGCGACCTTTGGAAGCTGTAGCTTGTACGACGCCAGGTCTTCTGAGGTCGCCGAGGCCGGTAGTGAGCTTTTCTGGTTCACGGATATGGATTGCCATTCTTGTGGACAGGGAAATGCCTACTTCGATTACATTTCTGTTGGTCAAGACCCTGCCAACATGCCTCAGTGGACATGTGCTGCAGAGGACAAGACAAGTTCGACTCTCGCCGCGCCAACGACTACGAAACCAGCTATCACAACCACATCTGCCGCTGATGCAGCCACGAGTACAAGCCAAGCCATTGATGAGACCGATTCATCTACCGTCATCCCAACTACGACTTCTACATCTCCCTCCACTACCGCGAGCCTATGTGCCAACGGCGTGCCATCCCCTGGTATTTGCTCCGCAGCAAATGTTGTGCCTTCAACAGCAACATGTGGCAAGCGTGGTTGGCCACGCAACGTCGAACCATATGGTCGTAGTCTCGCTGACTTCCCTAATCAAAACACATTCGAAGAATGCGCTCTCATTTGCAAGCTCGATAGATCGTGCAATGCCTTTGCCATCGATCCTACTAGGTCTGGGATGAAGTGCATGTTCAGCTCAGACCCGACTATCGATGGAGTCTCCAATGCACCTGGCGTATGGAGTGATTTGGAGTGTATGAGCTGCACGCTTTGCGATGACTCGGTGACTTCTTCGCAGCCAGTATCCGAGGCCCACACAACCATGATCACCTCAACACGGCTAGTTGGCGAGGATTCCAGCACCCAAGCTGCTACAAGCGCGTTGGGGGAACCAACCACGACTCAAACGACGCAAGCAGAGCCTACTGATTGTGCAGTGCCCTCGGCCTCTTTGAGCGACGAAGTCACCTGTGGTATCCCCGGTCAAAGCGGTCAACAAGCTCAAAGCGCTCGTCTCTTAAACTATGTCATCAAACCAGTTGGAAGTCTGGCCAACTGCGCTGCAGTCTGCCTTGAACGAGCAGATTGTCAGGGCTTTGCGTACATCAAGAGCAACACTGAGTGTTATCCCTTCAGAGTTGGGCCTGCTGGTTTAGGAATCACATATAATCCACAGGGCACAGAAAAGTACTACGATAGGGGGTGCTTCTCGTGTGCTTCATGACAGAAGCATTTGTAAGGGCGGCATTTTGTCCATTTTCCTCGGGTAGGGGTGTTTTCCATCTAACGTCTCATTTCATACCTTTAATCCTGAAAAGGATTCTTAGAGGAGTTTATAATATCTTAGAATAGTTTATGGTATCTCATCATAACTTATGATAAATTTAGCAGCCTTTTGACAAGTTTATTTTTACCGACGGATGCAGATATGCCAAGCTCTCTGATACTTCGAGGTGTGCCTGAGAAAATACCTCGACATAATTGTAGAACCCATGAGTGATCAATGAAATCTACCTTCGGCTATAGAGGTCGATCTTAACACATTTCTAGAAACCGCAGCCGCCCGCTGTCATCCGGTAATAACCACTCCATCAGCCCTGAAACCGTGCCCAGCTCGCTTGTCTTCAGGAACACTTCGCCAAGATATATCAGCCTCCAATGTTTCCGCTCATCAGACCCAAAAAACGGGGAATAAACAGCTTGGCACCGTCGCCCAGGCGGTGATATTGTCGTCCGCCAAACATAGTAGAGCAGCGAGACTCCTGATCTTTAGACTTAATCTTAAGTCTAACCGGATGACATATTTGTGGAGATATAATCCATAGAAACATTTATATCTGGGCTGCTGTCTCTTGTAGATAGTGTCTTGGTAACTCACTTTCGTTGTAATTACATTCTTTCTCTACTACATTCACATTCTTTACCTGTCTATCGTTAAGGCTGTGCCTGTCATCATCATGAAGCGATCCGCACTTATTTCTCTCATCCCCGCCTTCTTGGCTACTGCCTCCCCTGTCCCTCAAGCTTCCGAACCTGCTGGTTTCATGGTTTCTTCCGGTAGCTGCGGCGCTGCTGAGGTTGACGAGCTCGTTGGATACGGAGCAAAGACCACCGGAGGATCTGGTGATCCCGTCACCGTCACTTCTTGCTCAGAGCTTACCTCTGCTCTCTCCAATGGCGGTGTCATTCACATCGACGGCCAGCTTACCGGCTGCGATATCATGAACGTCAAGAGCGACACCACCATCCTCGGTGTCGGTTCCGGCTCTGGTCTCGTTGACAGTGGTTTCCGCATCAAGAAGGCCGATAATGTCATCATACGCAACCTCGCCATGAAGAACCCTCCCAAGGAGATGGATCTCATCGACATTGAGACCTCTACCAACATCTGGATCGACCACAACGAGTTCTCTGCCGAGGGCGACACCGGCGACAAGGACTTCTACGACGGTCTCCTCGACGCCAAGCGCGGCTCCGACTTCCTTACCTTCTCATGGAACAAGTTCTCCGACCACTGGAAGGCTAGTCTCATCGGCCACAGCGACAGCAACGGTGATCAAGACACCGGCAAGCTCCACGTTACTTACCACCACAACTACTGGAGCAACGTCAACAGCCGCACCCCCTCCATTCGTTTCGGAACCGCGCATATTTACAGCAGCTGTTACGAGGATCTTCCCACCTCTGGAGTGAACTCTCGCATGGGTGCTCAAGTCCTCGTGGAAACTACTGCTTTTGTTAACGTTAAGCGACCTATTGTCACCAACCTTGACTCTAAGGAGGATGGATTCGCTATTGAGAAAGACAACCTTTTCGAGAACAGTGAGTCGCAGATTACTCAGGAGAAGGATTTCGTTCCTCCTTATGATTACACCACCGACTCTGCGGATTGTATCTGTGATTATCTCAAGGAGAAGGCTGGTACTGGTGTTATCAAAGTCTAAGCGACGTCATATGACGTCTGCCAGGCTTGATGGGAGGCCTCTAGACAAGTAGAAAGGCAGTTTATGGTCATAGATAGACTTCTAACACTATACTTCCCATAAATCCACTGTCTGTAGCCTGTGCTTTCGGTTCCAGGCACGGTACAATTGGCATGTTTCACAGTTCTACTAGTCTCATATTTCAGCTTGGGCATTTTGACCATGAGGCTGACTTGTATATAGTGGTTGTAAAAAGTGAGAAGCAGCGTCCAATGACTACAGCTAACTGTATTGTGGCTTGGTGCAGGCCAAGAACATCCCTGGTTGCTTCTCTTCTTATTGGGCTTCTGGAAGCCTGCTTGAAAATGATAGAGGCAGGCATTTGTTTAGTATTCAAGGACGGCTGTGCAGTGCAATGTTATCGTAACCTTCAGTACTATAGGGAGAAAGATTGTGACTAGCAGAACTGTCACTTGCGTGCAACTACATCGCCTTGTCGTACTGTGAGGATCTATATTCCTTATCCTTTTGTTCATTCAGCATCTGCAAGATGGACCAACGAGGCTTCTGCGTCTTGTACACCAGTTCTTTTGGACCTGAAACATGGCATACCACCCTGCATTCTCTTCCGCGCGTTTCCGGAGCCTGCTTCCAATAGCCGCCTAGACCTGATGGCGCAGGTCAGCTCCCACAGCCTGATATATATATAGCCCGTGGAAGGCTTTCCTTCCCAAGCTTCCGAATTTATAATATTACGGAAGACTTGCTCCAATGTTCAAATTATCAAACACATGCAGTTCAACCTGCAAAGACTTCCCCAAAGAAATCCCCTCGTATGGGGATATAGGAGGAATTGGTGTAAGCCTCGCTCTGATCCAGAACACTACTTACGGCTAACCCTCAACGAGGTGACATCAGCTTTTGTCCTTACGGCGTGGATGGTGGTCGTTGTTCTCATCGGATACTATCTCAAGGTCTATGATCCTAGATTAGACCCTTTTCGAAAAGAGGGCACGCAAAAGGCTACGAAGTATCCAAACTCGATCGACTTTGCGGTTCACGAAATCCTCCAGAGTCTCCCTTGGCCTAAGCATGATTCCAAATATATTTCGGCTCAGTCTTCCAGACTCGGGACCGTCCTGAACGCTGTAAGTTGGCTGCTTTTCTGTCCTGACAGGCACATGTACTTATACTATTATGCACTGCAGTGCGTCCTCATGTTCGCTGATGTCCAGATCTTCACATCGTTAGCAATTCTCATCAGCGCGTATACTTCAGTTGGCTGCGACATCGTTGCCTATCACTGGCAATACATGATCTACCTGGCATGGCTTGCTTCAGTAACTCATCTGGCCAGTCTCTCATTTCTCCGCAACCATCTCGCCAATAATCCCGCAAAGCGCACATGGCGTCTAGTAGCCATGTGCATAATCCAAGTCATGCTATCGGTGGCGGTAGGATTGTCAATGACTTTCGATGGAGATCCATGGCTCGACTCTCAAGGTGGACGTCCTGCTATCTGCTATTTTAAAGAGCGGATAGATACAACCTCTATTGCTTTTCAATCAGCCATCAAGTTTATCATTCTTATCGTATGGGGTCTCGCTATTCGTATTGCGAAGACTTTTGAGGGACTTGAAGGCGGGTTGCGTAGAATTGCATCGCTTCTGGAAGAAATGGTAAATTTGGACAGGAGACTTTATCTAGACTCTACAGGAAGACGATTGGGCTCCACGCCTCGCGCCTGGAGACAGTTGTTCGTTTCTTTCAGGATTGGGTATCTCTCAGTCATAAGTATTCAGCTGAGTCTTTTTACTTCGCTTCTTGCCGAGGTAAGCTGCGATAGACATATAATCCTAAAAACTTCACTGATCTTGCTGGGCAGGTCTATTGGTTATTCTTTACCATCATTTGGATTACAACGCGACTCGTCAAACTCCGCGTTCCCAGCAATCAAGACGACAGCAAATGGACGTTTGGTCAAGTTCTTCCTATCATCCTTCTCATTGCGCCTCTTGCCCTAGCAATCGAAGCCTTCTATTCGTCACCAAAGGCCCATGAGCCTATTAATGACCTACAAGAGATTCCTGGGAGCAACTCAGACATCAGAGAACTGTATCATATCCACAGCCCAGCATATCGGGGTACATTCTTCCTGGCGGTTCTGTCATACATCGAGATTGCGGTCTATTTCGTTCTCGACCAAGCAGAAACGCAAGGCATTGCTACTCCTCTCTTTCAAATCTTGACTTCGATTTTTGTTCTCCAGCCCACGCTGCAGGCCTCTTGGTCCATCTGCAATCTATGGCTTGACAAAATGACTTGGAGCATTGTATTGAAGCGCTCAATTCGCGATGTTGTTCTACTCGTATACTCTGCTATCTCGCTTGCCGGAAACTTCATATCCTCGAGTGATGTTAACTTGGGAAATATATATATGGACAGAAGCACCACATATCGGAAGCTAATGTTGGCAGTCTCACAATGGGTTTTTTCGTCTTCGCAGTTTATACTCACCCATGTTTTCCTGCTTTTAACTTGTTTTCTTGTTACGATGCTAGGAGGTTGGAAATGGCGTTTTTCTCTATATCTAGTTCTGTTTCTCGCTTTTTATCTGCTACTACGGGCGGAGCTAGTGTTCTTTTCTGGCAATTTCTCCTTTGTTCTGTCTTTCAATTCGATTTTGCTAGATAAACACCTACTCGTTTACACTGCGGTTTCAATGCTTCTGCAGCTCTCTGTTTTCGCTCTGGAAGCCTGGGCCGAGAAGAAGCATATATCAAAGCGGATGGCTTTCCTAGTGAGAAGCATCTTCCTACTCGGTCTGAGCCTTTCTTGCTTGATCTTGAGTCAGTCACTCTCATATACCCATGTCATCATCTTCTTGGGCGGCTTTCTTTTCTCCGTGCAGGTATGGTCTGCTGTTGGTTTTCTCCTTTATAGTTGCAAACATTGGTTCGATACGGCTTTGGTTAGACAAGCGCTGTATTGGCGGAATCTTAGGTGGATGGATATCGGCGTTCCGCTCCCATATTCCGCCCCCACACATCCACTCCCTCGGGCTCGATGAGCTCAACTTGCTCATCATTCATTTACCTTTAACTCATACATAACATCTACTACAATGGGCACGATCTCAATAAGAAAGTTCATCCGTTGGCTCCCAGACGAGGCCTCGGAGCCGACAACGACTATAGTCGTAACATCACCACGCCTCAAGCGCTTCGTCGATCTACGCATTCTCCTCCCCGATAATGACCCCTCATGGACCGGCCAAGATGGTACTCACCCCTCCCCCTTTCTTTCGTTCACAACTAACAAATCTCAGAACCCCTTCCTCTATCCCGCCTTGACTGGGCCATAGCCGGCACAACGGTATCTACCAAGATCCCCGACCCAGAAGGAAACCTGACTTCCCATTCAACGTTCCACCAATGGATATCATCCCGCACTCTTGACTCCGATGCCGGCTTCATGTATCCTCAACCAAATGATCTGACCCTCGAAAAGGGCAGTATGGTTAACCCCGATACTGGAATCGACACAGCGTATGAAGAGCTCTGGCACGATGCTACGCCGACAGCAGTACCTGGTGAACCAGCTGTCAGAGCGCTTGTTCTTCAAACGGAGGATGAGAAGAACGGAGTGAGGGGCTCAGTAGTGAGACTGGGATGTTATGCGCAGGGGCTGATCAGAGTTGGAGAGCATATTTCACTCGAGAGATGGGAGTGGAAGGACGGGTGGAAGAGGACTATTAGAATGGGAGATGCGGAATTGCCGATTCAGAAGATTCTGGGCGAAGAGGCACTGAGAGGGGGAGATACAGTTGATGTTGGTGGGAGAGAGTGGAAAGTTATTGAAGAGAGTGGCAAAGATGCGTCAAAGTTGTGATAGCAGTTCACATGGTCTAAAGCAGTTAACTCAATTACGCTCATGTGAGCCTCAATTATCATCAGCGCAAACTTTCTCGGTCCGTTCGGCCGAGTTTGAAATGCATTCTGTCTACACGTCGTGTAGCGGTACTTAACAAGTCTTGAACTCTCACACTAAATCAACACAGCGATGCTGTCTCGCATGCCGTCATCACCCAGTTCATTTCGGGCACTCCTCTCATAGCTTTTGTCTTTCCTCCCCGGTCTTTCCGTCATCTAGTAGAACCACCTTCTAGGCCATCCACCGCTGAGCATCGTAAACAAACGCATTGTAAAACTTGATCCTCCTCTACCTTGATCCGTACACGAAAGCCCGCTCCGGGGACTTCCTCGTCCCGTCATGCTTCTTATAAAAACTAGAACAACATGCGTAGAAATTTCCACGATGTGAAAGCAAAACGCCCATCCATGGTTTAAACAGTTGTGTTCGTAACCGATCAACATCTTCTGAAATCGAAAGCTGTAAACAAGGCGCAATAAAATAGTGAATACGCAAACGATATCGTAATGTGGAGCTTAGACTGCCCAGCTGCCTCGTCGTTCTCGGACACCCCATCCGACGGGGTCCATGCTGTCGAGGTTGGGGTGCTGCCTAGCCCACTCCTTGATATAGGACTGTAGAGCATGCCATCGAGGGCATCTCTGATCGCGAGGCTTGTCGGCTTCTGATTCGACGAGGTGGCCTTGGGCGAGTTGCTTCTCATCATCTCTCTCAAGGTCCTCAATACTCATCAAACTAATACGTGAAAGCTCGCCATCAAAAGCGCGGGCCATAGCAGGATAGCCTAGCGAAAGATAGTTGTACACTTGGGTGACAAAGCTGTCATCAAACTCCTGTTCAATCTTATCTTCGAGCTCTGCATGTGCCTTTTCCTTCTGCAGACGCTCATTGATACCATGCAGCATGTGGAGTCCCTTGGGGGGACCGGCCCGTGCCCGGTGCTGCGCTATGCCGTTGGCCTGGCCATTGGCTGCTCCGATCACGACAGGCTCGTCTGTGTATGGTGGAGAGCTGATTTTTGAAGCGTCACCGGGAGTGGCCGCCGGTCTGGGCGTGGCGAGCATTGGTGGGGCATGCAGGTCTGCTGGCACCAGATAGTTATCATTCGAGTCTGATCTGAAGCAATAGCCTCTCCAGAGACCATTCTGACCCGAAAGATCCCGGAACTTCTCTTCAGCATGGCGTTCTGCAAATGGGTGATCGGGCTCGAGCTTGGTCTGCTTGGGAGACGGACACCTCCGGAAGACAAGATCTTTGCCGAGCATGGGCGGTGTGACACCCAGACGCTTCTTCTGGAACGAGGGAGCAGGCGATCCGCGTCCGAAAGGTCGGTATCCGAAGGGTCGGGCGAGGTTGCGCGTGGCAGCAAAGCCGCCGGTGTCTGGGGGTATTTGAGAAGCTTTGGCGTACGGGACATCTGCAGAGCCAACGGCCGGGGCCGATGGGATGAAGGGCATCGTAGATTCGCCAATGTGTCGGGATGCTGCAGGTGCCGGGGACGATGCCTTGCTGCGTTGCTCGGCTGTCAAATAAGATTCTGTATCGAGCAACGGCATATGCGTCTCACCAATCGGACCACTAACACCGATCGATGACCGCTTGCTACTACTATCACGAGGGGTGTTTGAGGTGGTCCACATCGGATCCGGAGGAGGTTCGAGGTCCATTGCATCGAGGTCTGCCGTATCGGTTCGCATCATGACATCCTCGTCCTTCTTAACCGCTGGTGCTTCCACTGCAGGTTCTTCAACGAGGGTGTCCATCTCCCCAGGCTTCTCGTCAATCGCCATAGCATCCTCATCTTTCTGCTGCTGTTCCTGCTCCTGCTTGGCCTCGACATGCTCCTGCATGTGTTTATGCCACCAGCCGAGATTGCTGTCGGACGATTGCCGCCGCACATTGTGATGGTGTTTGACGGGATGGCCATGGTGATCATGCATGGGAGAAGTGCTCTCGGGAGATTGATCGCTTCCTGAACTCTCACGGAAGTAAAAATGATCGACGTTTCCTTCACGAACATGACTGTTGGGGAACGCGGCCAGAGCGGCCTCCTGCATCTGGCGCTCTGCCTCCTTCGCAGCAATCTCTAGCAGGAACGAAACGACATTCTCATCCTCGGATTCGCGACGTCTGGGGCCATTGGAAGGGGATTCGTGGGCATCGTCTCGCCGTCTGCCGCGGTGTTTTGTGGCGGTGTAGATGTTCTTTGTGTAAGGGGTAATGTCGGTCTTGTCGGTGGGCTTGGTCGCAGGACCTGCATCTCCAACTCTGCGACTTCTTCGGGACGATTCGATCAACTGAGGAGCAAAGCGTCGCTTTGGTCGCTGCTGGTGCTTCTTCTGCAACTCGTTCAAACCAGGCGAGGGGGAACGAGGCGAGGGCTCGGGTGTAGGTTCGGGATTAGGTCTCATTGTACGAGGCGTCTTTTTCTCATCTGATCTGTTGCTTGATCGACTGGTTGAAAATGTGGTCTCAATGGGCTCTGGAACAAACCTTCGCCGAGGTTTGTCTGTCGTGGCCATGATGAGGGGAGGAGAAAGAAAAGACCAGGGTTCGGGAATAGATGACTCGTGCGGACTTGACTGGGTTGATGCTCGTTCGTACTTGGCCTACGTTGCGCTCGCTCGCTCACTCGCGGTGCCTGTACCTGTGCCTGTCCTGTGCTTGCGATGGAGGGGCAGGGGGGGACAAAAACAAGTGAGTAATAACAGTATTTGCCTTAGTTAAGGGTAATGAGAAGACCGCAATTGGAGTAGACCAAAGGATGTTTCGGTGGAGGAAAGATAAAAGGCTTTAGTGGGAAGGGGGAAAGAATAAAAGTAGAATGGAGATTAAAAATGTGAAGACGGTTTGGTTTGCTAGTGACGAAAGTCGACTTTTGCTCTGGTAGAGAAAAGCAGTTGAGATACGAGACTCCGACTGCGCGGGCGACCTTGGTTTTAGTCTAGCAACAGCAGAGAGAGGCCAGAGCAAAAGAGCGGGCGGGGCGATAGAGGCACCTCACCTCACTAAAGAGGACCTTAGTTACAGTACCAGGATAGTCTGTTTTCGGTAGTAGAGGTACATAGACTACATGGATGGAATTGTCTCTGATCCATCCATTCATTCTCCTGGTGACGAGAATGGAAGCGGGAAATGGCTGGCGTCCGACGCCGGCGGTCACAAGTTCACATTTCAGTCAAATCAATGGGCGACGGACCCTTGTCAATGGATGGAGTGTCAAGTCCATGTCCGGTCAGACTCTGCTCTACCTATTCTCGCATTGGAAGTGCCGCCACAAACTATCGAACAAGTCCAAGGCCTAAGCCTCGCTATCAATTGTCCAGCTGCCTACCACGGCCTCAAAATCATCATATGTTGCCGAGAAGTCCAACTAAAAGAATCACCAAATTGCTTATCTGTCTCTATTAAACTTCTTGTTTTCAGCATCTCTTCCCACATGCCACCTTTGAATGACATGACGCGGACACCAGTTCCCGAGGTAAAAGTGTAGTGTAGAAAAGACCCCTGGAACACAAGGAGAAGGGTCTGCCAGCCCAACTAAAGTTAGCCAGCCCAGTCCAGCGGGCACCATCAGTACAGTAAACTCAGAACCGAACCCAGGCGCCTGTCATACCCTGAAAATCAAAAATGGAACATTGTCCAGTCCCCTCAGATCTTGAAGTGGGTGGCAATGATGATGTTCGTTCATGGTCCCATTTTCAGGGGCCGCGTCAAGCGCACATCACATCGTTCGTATCTGGGCACTGCATTTGCTCTTTGTTGTTCACAAACAGGGCGCTCAATCTCTTCACAATGTGAGGCTCACGATAGTGTCTCTGCTGTCTACCCCAGCGTCAAAAGCGGTTTCCCCGTGGGAACCATGTCTCGTTGATTCTGTCAAGCCTAGCCCAGACCAGTTCTTGGTGGGGGTGTCTTGGAGACCGTCAGGACCATGGTGGGGTTTCATTAGCATGGGATATCAGAGGTAGATGGACAGTGTGAGAGTCGCAAGAGTCAGGATATCACTGTGCTGAGGTCATCTTTCAAGCCCACGATAGCACTCAACTTCACCATCTGACTCAGAATATACAGTACTTTACTCTTGAGCTCACACAGGTTGGCTACTTCACTCAATGCCTTTTGATTCATTGATGTACTCAGATTAATTGCAGTATCAGCTCCCCACGTCCAACAATTCCAATCACACCAACATGCAAGCAATCGTCCCTCGCGTGGCTATCATCGACCAGGCCTCTATGATCTCATCCCAAGACCAACCCGCGTAATAAAACACCGTACATCTCCAAGCCAAGACCTCAAATACAGGCTCGCCACCCGTCGTCCGCGTCCGCCTGGGGGCTCCGCTGGTGTTCCCGCCCGGGCCCCGAAGCCGCAGAGCCCCGGTGAGAAACAGCCATCACAAGAAACCTGGAAAACAAACAAAATGGACATCGACCCGCTGCTAGGGATTGACGTTCCTGCAGTTCCGTCCTCACCGACTATTTCGAACTCCATCTGAACCGAAACTCTGAAACTACTGTATTGTCAAAAGTCTAGACAACTGTTTAGATCAGGACAAACTGAACTAGACATGCACAAAACATCAAAAGAGGTGTAACCAAGGTCTTCACTAAAAGACCCGTAAACTCGTGGCCATTTTGGCGACCAGTCCGAGCAAGAATCAAGACAAGTCATGACTTTCGTCTCTTCTCTTTTCTCAAAGACAGCGGCACTGGTCGTTACGCTGTAACCCTCCATCGCCAGGTCCGCAAGGTCCGTTATCTCACAGGCGTCACACCCTCGCTAAGCCAGAGCCTCAAGGGCGCCCCCTTTCTCTGCTGTGAGATCTCATGTTGGTTGCAGGTGCAGCCCTAGATGCGTGTACTGTTGAGGTTCTGTGTTACACAGCAGCCACGCCATGATTTCGTTGAGGACGAACTGGAATTTAGTCTCAGAAAGTTCCGACGATTGGTTCTCTGCAAGTGAGTCAGTGTAATTAGCATGAGGGTATCTCCTTGCTATCATTTTTCTTTGGCTGAAATTGAAGCTATCGTGAAAGTTCAATAGAACATCTCCTTCGTAAACTCAACCCCCCACGCGACACCTCCATTACAGAGTTATCTCATGCGGGCACGCAGCACACACACTTTCTTATGCCGTCACATCCAAGACAGCCACTCACCCTTCTCAACTTGACAACCCTCCATCACAATACGATACCGTAGCGTGCGTGCGTGCGTGCTCTACTATCGTTAGCTTGATGACTCCAGCGGCTTCCGAAAGCGATAACTTGAGAGACAACATCCATCCATCTGAGCACAGCATCCACAATGAGCCGTTGCATTCGCTCTCCACTGCAGTGCAACAAACTAAAGCCAAACTTCACTTGAATGGATTGGATCCATCCAATATTTGTTTCCATCACCGACCGCTCAGGTCCCTTGCTTTACAGTGCAGTTCCCCCGTTGATCCCCCGCACTCACCGCATCAGCCCGCCCTGGTTCAATGCTTGTTTTCCGGAAGTCCTGCCGTGAGCTAAAGCACACGAGACCCTCTAATCATCATGGATCTGAACCTCCGCCATTTCATATCACGAAGAAACACGAGTTCTCCCAGCCCTTGGGGTTTTTGCCTGTCTCTGCTGAGCCCACGCTCTCCTGATGTTGTCGAGTTAAAATTATCCTGGTCCGTCGAATCAATTGCGGCTCTTTTATCCCGTGCCCCTTGATCTCAGGTGATATCCGCATCTTGTTCCAGCTTTGCATTTATCCAATTACACGTGGGCTATTCTCCATGCCATCTCATTTTTGGCAATTCGGTAGAATTGAGTTTTCGGTCCTTAAGAGAAAAAATAACATGACTTTGTGTTCTTGAGATCTTGATGACTTACATGGATCTCTTTGTCTTGTGGTGTTGCTCCATACACACCGCTTGAATACTGAAACCTTGGTCTCTTTGTTCTGCCATTAACGTTGTATTCTTGAGAAAGTTGGTTGCTTCATCTCCCTTTGACGAAGGACTTAATGCTCCTCTTTGTGGCATCTCAAACCGTGGCAACGAACCTTGGCCTGTGTTATGTATCACATGGAAGTCGTGGTACCCCAAACTGCATCGAGATGTCTCACTTCCCCATCATTTCCACGCCGAAGTCGGCATTGTTATCTCATTCACGGAGTAAACTTCCAGCTGAGATCACTTCCAAGAGATACTTTACCCCGTCATCTTGAGATCAACTCCACTCGCCATGTGTTTGCCAGATTCAAGTTCGCCTCCCAAATTCTCGATAGGCCTAAAAGCATCAGCCCTGGATTAACCTTTTGTGCCAACAACGCCCATTGCCTTCTGGAATGCGGTTCTACCATCTAGCCAACCGGCTGCGTGACAAGTGCTGATCTTCACCCGCGGATCATGAAGGGTCCGTCGTACAGTCAGAGTTCACGACGTCAGTTGTTTCCCCGAGTCGTGCTTCAAGATCTACAAGTCATGTTTCACGTGCGCGACTCATTGAGCTGATCTGTATCGATTTGCAATTGATCTTTGTAGAGAGCGGAGAGTGGTTGTTTCGCAGGGTCTTGTCACAACGTTAAGCTTGTAACTTTATTCCTACGAGTCACTGTACTTCTGAGATTGTCACTTTAGAAGAGAGTCACTGTGTAACGTTGGTAGGATATCACCCACCATCTGCAGTATTCCACATCATGATGGAAGCGCCCGTTCCCAATGTGATGATCATTCGTGTTGGCTCTGCTTCACCCCGAAAGCTTCTCAAGCGCTGACATTGGTGATCTACAAATATTAACCATCGATCTGGTTAAAATACCCTCTACGGGGCTACGATCTCCTCAATTGAGTCGATCTTTGCTTTCTTCTTGGAGGAGTCATGGTTTTCAGCATATCTGCGGCTGCGTTCCGCTCAGAGCTCCAGGGTAGTACAAGCTGCACGACCATTAAGACTCAAGAAGGCGATCACCTAGGTCAACGACAAGAATTGGAACTGTTTTCTCGAAAAATCTCAAAATGCTGGTTAAGTTAGCCATGTCTGTCGTTCTCCTTTTTTTTCAGTCCAATGCTATCGCTGGGTAGTGGGCTGTGATATTGGGGAACCGCACGAGCGATGTGATGGTGGTAGGCAAATACCGGACAAATAACGAATCTTCCCCTGTGTACAATCGTGAAGATCGGCCGAGTGCCATTATACAAGTTAGTAAGTGACATCGATATATTCTGGTACCTCAAGGTCCGGCGTGCGATTTGAGTAGTTGAATGTAAGATGAGTAGACAACACAAACATCTTGCGAGCTTGGTTGGCACGGAGTCGTCTTTATGTTCTCCAAGACAAGCATATGGGTGTTATCTCGAATAAGACTAACTCCTTTTGGGCAATGAAACGCAGTCTCTTGACAGAATGGCGAGCTGTCAATTGTACGGCGACATGAAGACGTATTTTGAGTTCGAGAACCATAGCGATGTCTCGCATCGAGATAGTATTCTTTGCTTGAGGATTTAAAATGGTTATTCAGCCATTGGGTATCAAGCTAGGCATATCCCACAAACAAACAGCTGTTCTTGAGGGTCTTCAGGAGACGGCAACGAATTGTGCTGAGTCAAAGAAAGAGTTCACGATGTCAAACTTAGCAAAGAGGCCCAAGTCAAGGATCAGTTCATCTGCGGTTCAACTGCCGACCCCCACTCCCCGGAATCCTCGCGACCCTCGGGAAGTGGTAGATGAGGAGATTGATAACTTTCGAGTAAAATCTGGGGCAATATCATCTAGATGCTGCATAGATGAGGGGAGGCATAAAAATTTAGGACCTCTTCCGTAAGAGACAAAAAAAAGCCCCATGTAAGTTTGTATATCTTAACAAGCCTTTAGGCCAGTTTATTTTGGCACCTTGATTCAACGTTAAAAGTTTCTTATAGCCGACAGGCGTTGCTCAGTGAGTCAGAGTAAATGAGTTGAGGATGGCATTAAAAACACCATGGATTTCTCCGAGCTTGTTTTTTTTTCCAGGTTGCTGGGTTGAGCATTTCTAATGAAGCTGATTAATTCAAAAAAGGAATTAATAATCTCATCTTGCAAGTTCCTGCACCGGGTCGTCATAAATATCACCCAATCCTCCAAAAATCTCAGCCAGGTCGTCATCTTACGCCCTCAACTCCACGACTCGGTCGTCATATTAGCAAAAACAGCATCGCCTCGGGCGTCACATCGGCATTCAAACAAGCATTTCTTGCTCCCTTGAATCGAATGTTTTGTCAGCTACACATGCCGCTATACCGAAGGAGGCAATTTTTCCCACGCTCGATCCACTCGCCAAGCATGGTTAATGACGGAGCAAGCGAGATTCGAGATACTACAAAGCGTGATGGTATCCTCTTCTTTTTCCTTGTATTATAGCCTCGGTGTACGATTAGACGGTTGAATATCACTTTTATCTTACATTGTCTTATATCCTTTATTTTATGTGCATATAATGAGTCGAACTGACGAAGAGAACCCTGGGGTCCAGGCTGGACGGAGCCGGGACTCTTCTATGGATGTTGAGAAGCTCGGTCGTCAACGACCTGAAGTGTTTAAGTCTATATGGGCCGAACTAGGTTTTGGTTTCTCTGTATTTTGTTCCATGTTAATGGCTGTAAGTTTCATATATCATCGTTGTTCTATCCCACAACACCCACTGTTCAACGCAGGCACTGACATCATCAGGAATTCTTCGTCAGTGGATTTCATGTTATCCTTCCACCATTAGCCGAAGAACTCAATATCCCATCTGCTTCACAAACATGGCCTTCGAGTGTTTTCTCTCTTATAACAGGAGCAATGCTTCTACCAATGGGCCGCCTGAGCGATATGTACGGCGGATACATCGTCTTTAATGGTGGTCTCCTGTGGTTTATGCTCTGGGCACTCGTTGCGGGATTCAGCAAGAACTACATGATGCTTATTTTCTGCCGAGCTCTTCAAGGCTTTGGACCTGCTGCATACCTTCCTGGTGGTGTTATGCTGATGGGCAAATTCTATCGTCCAGGACCTCGAAAGAATCTCATCTTTGCTTTATACGGGGCCTTTGCACCCCTGGGGTTCTTCTTTGGTATCTTCGTTGCAGGTCTAACAGCAGAGTATCTTGACTGGCGCTGGTACTTTTGGATCGGCACTATCGTATTTGCCGTTGTATCCACCGTCTCCCTTCTCGCTGTCCCTTTCGACTTCCGCGATAGAAAGACTGATATCCCCATGGATTGGTGGGGGGTCGGAACTATTGTCCCTGGTCTTCTCCTTATTGTCTACTCTCTGACAGATAGTTCACATGCCCCCCACGGCTGGGCTACACCTTACATCATCGTCACACTTATCCTTGGAGTTATGTTCCTAGCCAGCGCATGGTACGTCGAAACGCATAAAGCCCGAGTTCCTCTATTGCCCGCCGACCTCTTTGCCCCCAAGGGGATGAATCGTCTGCTGGCCGTGCTCTTCATGGCCTTCGGCACCTTTGGCCTCTTCCTCTTCTATTCTAGCTTCTACATGGAGTTGGTATTGCACAGGTCACCACTGATAACTGCGGTCTGGTACATCCCTATGTGCGTTGGTGGTCTCATCATTGGCACCGTTGGAGGCTTCACACTGCACTTCCTACCAGGACGAGTGTTACTTTTCATCTCGTCACTGGCTAATGCGATTACCATGTTGCTGTTTGCCCTTATGCCTGAGAATCCCAACTATTGGGCCTGGGTTTTCCCGGCAATGGTTTGTTGTACCATCGGCATCGACATCACCTTCACAGTCAGCAATATCTTCCTGACCACCAACATGCCAAGCCATAGACAGGGGCTCGCGGGAGCTCTAATCAACAGTGTTCTCTTCCTGGGAATCAGTTTCTTCCTCGGTATTGCAGACATTGCGGTTGCAGAAACGGCGAATCTGGGACTTCGAAAAAGCTACAAGGTGGCATTCTGGCTGGCTTTTGGCGTGGCATCGATTCCGTTGCTTTTCATCCCGTTCATCCAGATTGGGTCCGCTAAGAGCGAGCTTACAATGGATGAGCGGCAGAGATTGGAGAATCCACCATCTGTAGGAGAATCGGAGGCAGAGCAGGAGGCAGAAACACAAGCACAACCGCAGGAGCCGAAGACTTGAGACCTTCGGAGAGTAAAAAAACCTTGGTCTAAACTTAGGATGTCAAAATAATATGATCTAAAGAGCACTAAATCTATACTCAGTCTACCTAAGTCTTTTTGTTATTTGTAATAGAGGACCCAACTTTCCTTGCTTCCCCTGATCCTCGAAAAAGGAGAGCGGCCTTTATTCATACTAGATGCTCTCTAATACTTGAGCAATGCCTTTTTACTTGCATAAAATATTGTTTAAACGCTTATTACCCACAAAGGGCGAAAGTACAGAATACCACCGTTGAGTATAATAAATTTGTTGATATGCGGTTGAGTAAGATCTACCCGGGCTATAACACAAGATTAGATCCAGGTACCGATCAAACTACCCGAAGGAAAGGTGATTTACCCCATCGGACATTTCTGCCTCATCAAACCTGCAGGGTCAAAGATATCATAGGAGTAAGCACGCTTTAGGAAACATTGGCCCGCTCTAGGAAGTAAGAAAACTTCTGATGTTAAACTTAGATGCCAGAAATACACAATCTAAGGTCTGCTAAATCTATACTCAATTGTACTAAATTAACATCAGTCTTTGTATCACTTAGGATAATGGTTCTAAGTCGCCTTCCCTTGCGAATCTCCGATTAAACATCTGTCTGTTTGGGGTTAAATCGCCATAGAGCAACATGAGTCAAGATAATAGTAGAAATGCTCTCCTAATAATAGAGCCCCAACTGCCGCTGTTTCAGGGCATCCATAACAAAAACGTGACCCGGCAATCCGGGTTTTGGACAAGAAGCCGATTACAACAGTAACCTCACGATGTAACTGGACCCTCCGGAAGATAGCGGCTTTCTTACGCAGAGTTGAGTTGTTTCTTGGTTTCAGAGTCTACCATTTTAGAGCTGCGACGTAGATGCAAAGGACCACATGCCCCTGCATGAAATGACGAGATAGCAACGTATTCCCTGGCTGCCACCTGTATAAATGACCAGGATCCAACGTGGTGAACCAGGGTTGCAGGCGCCACAATGTGGTTTTCTGCAACAGTGGCTGGCAAGATAATGAAACCACCAACGGGTCTGCGAACAGATGAGAAAACGTTGACAACAGTTTGTGTCGTTGAGGCTTTGGCCGCTGCGAACTGATGGAGGCGTTTTTGATGTTGAAACCACGATAATCCTGGTCAAAACGGCCCAGAGCTGTGGTGTGCCCATTAAAACCCCTGTCGATGATCAAGATTGAGAGGTAGCCAAGATATTAACATTCTTGATATGCTGTTACAAGCCAAGACATTGCTTACCACTCGATCGTTTATTTATTGCTGTAAGCGATACGGCACGGGGCGAGCTCAAAGTCTGAGATTCGTCGTCGTCATGGTCGAATCTTGATGCGCACACCGTTCGTTTCTCACCGCGACATTGCTTCAGCCAAGCCCAAGCCATCTGCGGCTGCTTTGCAGTCTGAGCGGAGCATCCCAGGGACTAGCACTAAAGGAAGCATTGGGCCTATGGGAAACCTCAAAAGCCATGAGGAACAGGGACTAGAAACTTGGCCGCGAGTGGATTCTTCGGTAGAGTTGGCGTCGAAATCCTCTGCCGCTTCCGGGGAACCAGAAAAACAGGGCACGACATGACGAGAGATGGTGGGTATCTGTTCCGGCGTAGGATTCGACAGTTACCACCGGCGCTATCTAAAGCCACAGTCAGGAAATGGCATATTGTTGATGTTCATTGGAAGATTATTTGTTGTTCTGTTAGATCATGGAGGGTGCAGAAATCTGGGGGATGAGCCTGGGCCCGCATGCAAAACGAGGTAAAACATGCGAGAGAAAAGTCTTCTTTTTTGTTTCTTTTTTTTCGGTATTAGATCATTGGTCGACGGGGAGAAAGGAAGGATCAATCTTGTGGAGACTGGCGTTTCTAGTTTCCGATGGTTGGTCGAGTTACATTGAATGGATGGAAGAGAGAAAAAAGACCCATAGCATCGCGATCTGGTCATTTCTTACAGACTCAGAGAGATCCAATCTGCAAGACCGAAGGCATTATCGTGAAGGTATTAAGGGATGAAGTTGGTGCAATATCAGCTGAGCCCTATAGCACATCCAAGCATGCATTGGCTTATCAAACTCTCCCTTTAGCATTGATCAAGTTAGACTTGTTCATGGGCGGGTTTAGTGTAGATTGTAAGGTGTGGCATCCCATGCCGTTTTCAATCATTATGGCAAAGCTGCATCTGCCTCCTCCTAGTAAAGCCTCAACTCTGTTTATAACGTTTTAGGTTTAAGATTATTTACATTGACTTTTCCGAAAACAACATTTACTTGCCTACTCTTGCATACATACTCTGCGCGCTTAATCAACGTCTCATCCATTGAGTCGAATTGAATTGAATTGAATTGACCGATGGAAAAAGTCTTGGTATCGTCCCACTTAAGTCAACGGGCAAGCATCCTTTCTCCAACTTCCAACTTTTTACAACTTTGCGACATTGGGATTCAGTCCTTCTTTTCTTCTTTTGCGCCGCTACCATTGTTACGCAATCGCAGCAGACAGTGGAGGCCAATCTCTCTGCCAACGTCAGCCGTACCGCGACTTGTACAACTCTGACCGACCCTTTATCTCGCTGTTTGCTTCTTGTACGCCTGGGACCTTGCGTACTTGTCTGACCCGAGAGGTACATACACGACCGGGCACTGCGCTTCAACGCTTATATCGACTCTTCTTCTAAAGCTTCTTCGTTGCACTGCGCCTGCAAATGCGCACCCTCAGGTAAGAGCCAATTCTCCTCGTAGCCACGTTTTTTCTCTGTTCTCTGCATCGTCTCATTGCATCTCACATCTGTCTTCTTATTTATTTGTCTTGAGTTGCGGGCCTTTCCGAGCGTACCTGGTTCGCTCGGTACCTGGATCATCCTGTCTCTCCATGCGACGCGACCCAGCATTGAAACACCAGGATACCTTTGCGCTTGGCTTGTGCTTTGCGCTACAGTACCAGTTCGATCCAGCTAATTCATCTTCCTTTGTCAGTGCAAGTCTGTGCTGCGCTGGCGATAGTTATTATACTCTCCAGCCATTTCCGTCTTGCTTATATCAAAGTCGACTTTTGGCTTCCCGCCTTGTTCCCGTTGCGACAAGGACCCCTGCCTTCAAATATCCGTTCGTCAAACTCTGAACAAAAGTCTCGCCGTTTTGGACCAGCCATCCTAACTTTACTTCTAGACATATTTGCGCTGTCGCGCCGTGACTCTTTTGTTTCCCAATTCTCTTCATCCAACAGCTTCAAAAGCTTCAACGCCCTTGCGCTCGAGCTCTCGGCCCTGGTCTGACACCGGCTTCCCACTATCGCAAACTACTACCGAAACTACGATACCTGCAGCCAGCTATCATTAAAGCACACCGACTTCAGCCCAGCATATCATGGGGTGCTGACCCGTGACCTTTCATTACCACACTACAAACTACAGTCACTTCGATAACAGCTGTCAGTGCGTTCGCTGTGCTGCGCTGCTGCGCTGCTGCGCCGTTCGTCCTCGATTACATTCGGGTACTTGGAACCGAATCTGGACAATCTTGTCCAGTTATATCCAATTCCCTGTCTGGCACGGCGATCTGGATGCTAAGTGCATCCTTGCTTGATAAGAATTAACACAAAGGCAGCTTCCTCCCTGCCTTGTTCGGTTGGCGCAGGATCGCTCGACTCTTGCGCTCACCAATCAGTCATCATGACTTCTCCAAAGGTTACAATATCTGACCGCGGCCAAGAGAACGACGACACCCTTATAGAACCTGTGCTATCGTCTCCTCTCTCAACGCCCCAAACAACAAGCCCTGAGCTCGTCTCGTTTCAGTCGCTGGCCGACCAAACATCAACACCACTCAGCATCATGGACGATTCATGCTTTCTCGACATCGACAAGTTCATCGCAAGCGGTCTCGAGTCAAGCAGTGTTAGTGCTGGTGACAAACCTACAGCGCCATTCAGCCAATCGCCAGTGATTACAGCGGGGTCGCCCGCTAGACCCTCGGACCCTAGCACTAAGAACCAGCGCAACGCAGATCCTCTTGGATGTACAGGGACGGATACAGGTGGCGGCCTCGCCGAACATACACGTGCCGCTCATGAGGACAATGTTTCTGAATCAGCCGAGAAGGATTCAAAGTTACAACAAACTTCTAATCGGCAATCGTATCGGAGATCCCAAGAGTACGACCAAAAAAAGCCATCAGAGGTCATTGAGCAGCCAAAAATCATCTCACCAGTGGAAGCTGCATCAAATACGACAGGCTTCGCTACCCAAAATAGCATCGCCCCATCAAATACCGGCGAGCCCAGTCTTGGTTTCAGGGGCCCTCATTCCGATCAGCACGTGTATCGAATAGATAGTTCGAGCAGAAATCAGCAATACGAGACTGCTCTTGCATCTATAGGGCCTTTATCGGTGGAAAGGCACCCTGCGTCAGGGATAGTCACAGCGCAGGCACAGGCAAGCAGCCACTGTAGTGCTCCTCAAGGCGCCACACAGGCCATGTCAAGCACGGCCTCCACTAGCAACAATTCTGTCCCCCCTGGGCATCAAAGACAACGGACCGGTCATTCCTCACACGACTCCCGCGACAACGACTTTCCCTCTCACACAACATCCCTTTCTTCTCGAGTCGGTGGCATAAAACTCGATACGAGTTTTGTCAAGCCCACGCCAAGGCCCATTGTTCGTACTGCGCCCGACTCACCTTCGCTCAGTATCCAGCATCCAACTCCCGACATCACCTCCCAGGCCCGATCTGGAGCATACGTCGGGAACATCGCACAACTCGAAGCCACTGCCGAACGGTTGTCTATGACCAGTTCCATCGACGATGCGATTCGAGATTTACACACTGAATTAAAGCGATCCGATAGCAGACGTTCTTCCATCCTTGCTGCCAGCGTCAAAGCCTCAGGGTCCATTGACGATTACACCAGTAACCCCGGCTCCGCTATCGAACAACTAAGACGACATCCTTCCATCGCTTCTTCCATCGTT